AAAAAAAAAAAAAGCATGATAATGGCATGAAGGAACATGTCATTTTCAGAGATACATCCTCAAGTATTAGGGGTAAAGTGTCAAGGTATTTGGAAATGATCTTCAAATGGTTTAGCAAAAAATATGTGCACACCAAACAAATATGACAAAAATGTTAACTGTTAAACCTATGCAGGTGGATATTAAGACAATCATTGTACTATTTGTCTCTTTTCTGTATGCTTGAAAATTTTTAGGGCAGCACCTGTGGCTCAAATGACTAAGGTGCTGGCCCCATATACCGGAGGTGGCGGGTTCAAACCTAGCCCTGGCCAAAAACTGCAAAAAAAAAGAAAATTTTTATGTTAACTGCAAAATGTTGAAAAGGGGAATTATATACATCAAGAATCCTAGGCTGGGCATGGTGGCTTACACCTGTAATCCCAGTACTCTGGGAGGCCAAGGCAGGTTGACTACTTGAGCTCAGGAATTCAAGACCAACCTGAGCAAGAAGGAAACCTTGTCTCTACTAAAAAAGAAAAACTAGCCGGGCATTGGGGTGGGCACCTGTAGTCCCAGCTACTTGGTGGGCAAGAGGACTGCTCAAGCTCAAGAGTTCAAGGTTGCTGTGAGTCATGACATCATGGCAGAGTGAGACTCTGTCTCAAAAAAAAAAAAAAAAGAGAATTCCCTGCCCTCATGGAAATTACATTCCAGTAGAGGGAGGGCAATGACCTTGGGAAAACATTTGGAAAGTTAGTGGCAAGTGTTTAAGAAACAAAAGGAGAGAAGGGGCACAAAGTGTGGGAGGGGTGAGTTGAAGTTGTAGGCCGCCTGTAGGTCGAGTGGCCAGGAAAGACCTCAGTATGTTTGAGTGAAGGCCTGAACGTGGCAAGGGAGTGAGCCACGGGAAAGCTGGTGGGAAAACATTCTAAGCCAGGCAAAGAGCAAGCGCATTAGGACTTGGGGTTGGAGCCAGCTGGGTGTACTGAAATGTCTCATCTGCTCACATAATTCCTGCTGTAATGAAGCCAGTGAACAAACAGAAGTGGTAGATCAGAGAGGAAATGGGGAGACATAGCAAGTATTTATCAATTCAAGATATGATACGTAAATACTTCTAGATGTATGGATTATCTCTGGAGGAATATGAAGAAAAATGCTACTGTTGGCAGCCTCCAGGCAGCTAGAGTTGGGAGTCCTAAACCTTGACTTTTCATTGGACATCATTTTTCATTTGAAATTTTTTGTTTTGATGCATGCCATAATCTTCCACAGTCCCACCACGAATCCCGTTTGCAGCCCCTCCTCCTTAGGGACAGCTGCTTCAGATGATCCGTCTGTAAGGCCATCTTCTTCAATGCAGGAATCACCTCTGCTCACACATCTGTCACCCAACCATCTGAGAAGTCTTGAGAACACACCAATTCAGCCATGAGATGGTGTTCCAGCTGGTCATGCTCAGTTCCCTGTCTCCAAGTTTGGGGGGTTGATGTGTGGCAATTCCTTTGGGGACACCGTAAAAGAACAGTTCTTAATTTGGCATGCTTAAAATGACTTTCAACCATCATCATGATCAACATGAAATTTGTAATTTCTCCCAGAACACAGAGAGAAATTATACTTTGTGCAAAACACTGCTTTTTTAGAAATTAAGAATTTATTGTGGCTCGGCGCCTATAGCTCAACCGGCTAAGGCGCCAGCCACGTACACCTAAGGTGGCGGGTTCGAATCTCCAGCCCTGACCCGCCAAACAACAAGGACGGCTGCAACCAAAAAATAGCCGGGCGTTGTGGCGGGTGCCTGTGGTCCCAGCTACTTGGGAGGCGGAGGCAGGAGACTCGCTTGAGCCCAAGGAGTTGGAGGTTGCTGTGAGCTGTGATGCCACCACACTCTACCCAGGGGGACAGCTTGAGGCTCTGTCTCAAAAAAAAAAAAAAAAAAAAAATTTATTGTTAATTTCTTAGGTGTAATAATGGCAGTGCGATGATGTATTAAAAATCTGTATCTGTAAGATACACACACACACACACACAATTTATTTCTGGATAAAATATGATCTCCAGGGGCAGCACCTATGGCTGAGTGGGTAGGCCGCCTGCCCCATATACTGAGGGAGGCAGGTTCAAACTCAGCCCTGGTCAAACTGCAATGAAAAAATAGCCAGATGTTGTGGCAGGCATCTGTAATCCCAGCTACTCAGGAGGCTAAAAGCAAGAGAATCACCTAAGCCCAGGAACTGGAGGTTGCTGTGAGCTGTGATGCCACAGCACTCTATCAAGGGTGATAAAGTGATACTCTGTCTCTAAAAAAAAGAAAAAAAAATCTCCAAATTTGCTTTCAAATTATCTAGGGGAAAGGTGGTAGTTAGAAATGAAATGGATTGGTTGGTTGTTGACAACTGTTGAAGCTAGGTGGTGGGTAGACAGGAGTTGTTTATTATACTATTTTCATATGGTTCAAAAATTACATGTAAGACAAGGAAAAAGAATATATGCAGATGATAAGGGCAAGGGAATAGATCAACTGCACAACTTGGGGCTATCCTGTATATCCACCCACTCTACTGTTTGGCACAGAGGAAGCGGTTAAAGTTCAACAAAATAAAATAAAATTAAGTAAGGGAAAACAAAACAAAAAAGATGATCAATCTGAGCCCTCTTTCTTGTTCAGTACTGATTCCCCCCTCAGCTTCTAGTCCAACTGTCCAGCTCTTTTACATACACACAGTCCTACACTTTTTCACTGAGTTTTTATTAGTAGTTAAATCATGATTCAGAATCATCAGGCACCCATGCCCCCCTCTGCTATCCTGGAAGAAGGGTGAAGGACGGAGGATGGAGGACAGAGGAGGTGGGGTACAGCCAGTTCAAATCTTCCCAGGAAATGTGCCTTCTGCCCGACGGTCATCCCAGGCTGAGACCTGTGGAAAGACAGTCAGTGTTACTCCCTCCTCTGTGGGGCAAGAGGATGGATTTCTTTGTCTTCCTCACTTTGCCAACCTGTCCGTTCAGCCAACAAATAACCACAGGTACCTGCTGTGTGTCAACCACTCTTCTAGGAGCCAGGCATCAGCAGTAACTCAAAAGGACAGAACTCCCTGTCCTGACATATTGAAGTGGAATGTAGTGATAAGCAGAAAAATCACAGACTCACTGCAGGACTGTCCCTGGAGAAACGTGTCACTGCAGAGAGCTTCAAGAGTGAGGTGTGCCCTGCTTCAGGAACCCGAGTCAACACTGTGCTGTCTGTCAGAACATGGTGAAGATGGATGCTAGGCAGCTGTGAAAAAAATTCCACTGATCTATATTCTGGCAGGAATGAACCTCTGAGATACATAGTAAAGTGCAAAAAGGCACCGAGAGAATACAAATTGAGGCCCCACTGTGGATCATAGATGTATGCAGAGTTAAAGAAACAATGAGCGGCAGGGCATGGCAGCTCATGCCCATGATCCTAGCACTTTGGGAGTCCGAGGCAGGAGGACAGTTTGGTGCCAGGAGTTTGAGAACAGTAAGACTGGTCTCTTTTCTATGAAAACCAGAAAGATTAGCCACATGTGGTGGCACATGCTTCCAGTCCTAGCTACTTAGAGGTTAAGGCATGAGAAATGCTTGAGCCCTGGAGTTTGAGGTTGCAGTGAGTTAAGATGATGCCACTGCCCTCTAACAGCCTGCACCTCAAAAAAAAAAAACAAAAAAAGAAAAGATGGAAAGGCCCATATCAAATTAATACTGCCCAAAATAACATGCTTTGTGGACCTTCTTACACGCAGTTACAAATATGTATTTTTATACATACGTATCCACACATACTCTCTAATACATGCTATGTATTAGAAACAGTGGATAAAAGCATGGACAATGGAGACAGAATCTGAACCTCAACTCCATCACTTCCTAGCTGACAAGTTACTCAAGACCTTCTGGGCCTCAGTTTCTAATTCTATAGAATGAGGGCACTTATGAGCATACCTATTCCAGCTGAGCCCAGTGGCTCACACCTGTAATCCTAGCACTCTGAGAACCTGAGCAAGATCAAGATCTTGTCTCTACTAAAAATAGAAAAATTAGGCTCGGCGCCTATAGC